ATGGAAATGCGTTTGCCACGTTTGGCGACGACCGTTACTCCGGAACTCGGACCGATACGACCGCTCTGATGTATTGATGTTTACCTAGTCCCATTAGTAGTTGGATGACGCCGGTCAAGAAGCACAACAACGTGCCGTATATGGGGCCGAGTCCGTGGAGAGTGTTGTACGTCATCAGCGACACTATAGCAGTTGGTCCCATGGGGACTTCTTTGCGAGTGCCGATCAACACGTACATCAAACTCCCGACAAACGAACCGTAAAGACCACACTGGAAATAATTCGTCAATTAATACCGATAATTAACGATAGCCATAAGATAATGGGTTTAAACACATTAACATTAAATTCTAAAATATAAACGAGAAAATACGCAAACACGAGGACGAACACACTGTATCCATGTTTTTGATGGCTTCCTCCGAATGGCTGAATCTACACGAGTGATTTATGATTGTAAAATTAAATCACACTATTTACTATACGCCACTATACTATTTATATTATTTCACCCAGACAAGTGGTCGTGTATTTACTTGCGGCGGTAGACCAGCTAAAGTAGAATAAGCCATCGACTGAGGTATGAGCGTCAGACCAACTGTAATTCCAGCCAAAAGATCTCCGATGAAGTCTTTTGGAGTATAAACTGGTGCCCATTGCAAAATCGGTAATCGTTTGGATAAGGTTTTATACGTGAACACCGACTTGGTGTTGGCCACTATGTGTTTGAAATACGTCTTGAAATATTTTTTCTTGTGAACGTTTACCTCGTCTACAACTATAACATAATACCATATAGGTAAGTAATTATATTTCGGTCTTTGTGCACCAGTAAAAGTAAATATCTGTGTTCGGTATTATATATTAGATAGAATTTAAACCATCGATGGCAAACGCAATATTTTAATACACTCAATAGCGTAAAAATATATTATACTTTTAAAATTGTTAAATATAATAAATTATGTATACCTACTCGTAATAAAGCCTGTATTTAATAGCTAAGAGGAAATAGTGATGGTAACAATTATCCTAAATTGACGGTCAAGCTGAAGGAAGAAGAAGAATAAATGTATATTCAGGGAGAAAATTACCAGTTATAGGTGTCATTTTATGAATGTTTAACTCGACTATTGAGTATAGACTCTTATTTAACTATTTTATGATGGAAAGTTATTTTAAAATTGTATAATCGTAGACAATGTTTAAAAGATTAAGAAACTTAATTTGGTAAATTTCAATTAAACGTATACGATATACTCGTATTTATTATTTATGCATATACTCGTATATATATTCTTCTTCTCCTTTGCTTTTCTCCCAACTATTTGGGTTCGGTCACCCTTGTACTAAACTTTTACTCATCTCGATTTTTTACATCCCCTGTGTACACACCAAAGGCCCTCATATTATTCTCAATCGTATCTAATCACCTCTTTTTTTAGTGTTCCTTTTCTTCTTTTCCCTTCAACGTTTATTTTCATAACAACTCTTACTGCATTTGTTTCCTCTCGTCTAATTATTTGCCCAAACACTATTTCAGTCTATTTTCTTTCATCTTGTCCACTATAGACACTACATCAACATTAAATGTCACATATTCGTTTCTTATTCCATCTTCTCTTGTCATATATGCATATGTATATATATATATATATATATATATATATATATGTATATAAACCTAATATTGTTTTCTATACTAATGTATTATATAATATAATATAATAAATATAATAATTGTATAAAAAAATCATTCCAAATATTGATAGTTGATTTGAAAGTAAAATGTCCTATGCCATTTAAGCTTTTATAGTTTAGATATTTTACTTACGAATGAAGTCGGAATTTCCAATATTAAATATCCCGTGGTCGTAATTTGACGTGTCTGCCGTGCTCTCCGTAATATCTGGTAACCGATTATTTTGTGAGTTATTACTTGCATTATTGATGTCCATAGTATCTGTTCAGCTTTTAAATATTTTAAGTAAAATTAAAAAAAATCTACAACGTCAATTATGAATGAAAACTGTATTGTTCACACGTAGTCCGTTTGCACGTATCGACCCATAACAGAATGTTATGTGTATTTAAATAATCCAACGGTAATATAGTTAATATTGCTCTCGAATTTCAACACAGTAATAATTAAAACATTTTTTTTTTACGATATACAATTGTTGATTGGATGATAAATGGCACCGAGTTGTTATGTTTTCGTTATGTTTTACCGAATAAAGTTGAGTAAACTACAAGTGGAATCTGACTAATGAGTATGTGATTAACATAAGTATATTATTGACATTCAGTAACGATTCTATCTGACGGGTAATGAATGGATAATAAAACAACGTATCTAAGAGAACGCGTTTAATTTCTCAGATACTCAGGAGTGTACATTTTATACACTAAATGCACTTCAATATTATTGTTAGTTAGTTGTTGTTGTTATTATGTGTGTATAATATACGATTAAGAATTTAACAATGCTATGTTAATCTTTTTATTACATTATCTTACAAGTAATTCTTAAGTACGAATATATATATATGTAAGTACAAGCAGTTATAACACTTTCACTTTAATTTTGGTCAGAGTTTATTCAAGAATCATTATTTCTTAAATCATTGTTACCATCCATAATTTACATAAACTTAAATAGAATATTATAATTTTAACCAACATTGTAACTGATGATATTACAGGTTTTTTTTTTTTTATAAAACAAGGTACCTTTTAAAAATTGGACAAAAACTATTTAATCATTATACTTAATTAGTTAATAATTATACTGTTAATATTATAATTTAATATTGATAATACTACTATATGGCAGTATAAATTGTTTGTATCGATTTCTAAATGAGTTATCATAATTATTTTTATATAATTGAAACGATTTACACTGTTTGGTTTATCTTGGTCAAAAGATAATAAAATAAATTTCTTAACCAATTTAAAAAAATTCATAACCCATTTTATATCATACTTTGTTACGTTTTTGTCTATGACGTCTAAACATTTGAGATTTCTGATGCTATTTTCTAAAGTTGCGTTTATCAGCCGATATTAATCTTGGGATTAATACTAAATACCACAAATTACTAAATTACGTACCTATACTGTTTATCAAATTATTCTCTTATGTATCGTTGAAAAACTGTTTTTTTTTATATTCTGAACCAATTAAAGTATCTTAAACTTTAAATTTAAAAAAACTTGAAATTTTAAATTTCGATCTCGCTAATGAGGAATTTACTTTTTTGTATTAGAACTTTATTTTATGCTTAACGTAATAGTTAGGCGAGCATCTCAATACGTCGAAGGTATTTATAGTGAAGAATGAATAAGTGAAGTAGTGATCGAATCATCGTTGACCGTCAATTTTTAATTGAGGTAGGATACCTTTTTTAGGATTTTGACTGTTTAAAGTGTATTTCAAATAATTTTTGTGATTACTATGTTAACAAAGTTTAATAATTTTTTTTTAACAGAAATTGTTACAGAAGGTAAGTCCAATGTAATATGGTAAATACATGTCTTAATTTATTAATAGGTTCAATGGACTAAATTAAAATGGTAAACTTGAATTTTTACTTCATTATTAGACTTTTATGGAAGGTCATTTAAAAATAACAAATAGTAGCTATTTACGAGTAATATCATCTTATACTACAACTACCCATCTTTTTAATGGTATACATTTCATTTGCAGTCATTTGCATCTGTAGTTTTTATTTTAGTTTTACAGCTGGTTATAGTAAATAGAGAAAAATTAAAAATTATTTTTATGAATATTTCTTTAAATGTTTACGTGATAAAGGTTAGGTGACTAAAAAATAAATATGATGTAAAATATTGGAACACAATGTACGAAAAACTTGTGAGGGGAAAAATTCGTATTCTAGTTATAATGTTGACAAAGTTGAGGGTTAAAAGTGCTAGAAATTTGAGTAATTTATACAAAAACAATAAACAATGGCTTGAAATAGAGTTAAATACTCAGTTGCTTCTACTTCATGTTTGTCAGTTGGCCTACCACCTAAAATTCTTTCAGAATATACTGAAAGATCGAAAAATTAAAGAACTTAAGGTCTATTAAAATTATACTCGTCCCCAAAAATAGTTTAATCTGTTACGAGTCAATTGTAAAAATTGGTTAAAAGAAATATTGCCATAGTATTTAAAGAATCATTGATTTTATCAATTAGGGCAACAAAAATAAATTAATAATAAATAATCCTATAGTAATTATAGTAAGAGTAGTTCAGACTCAGAATAAGATTATTTTGTTAAATATAATTATTGTCTTTAAATTTTAAGATAGCATTTGTAATTAAAAATCATATTGAATCTATAAATTCTTTATATATAATATTGCATTTAAAAATATTCAAATTTCAAAAATAATGTTTTAATTAAATTCAGAAGCATTTAAAATATGATATAAACAAGTATTATATGATTGGGAAAATATTAACTTTTCTCACCTAAAATTGCATTATAGACTACATTGATACATTGGTTAATGTAATGATATTTACTCCACGATAATCAAATTAGTTAAAAATCAGACTAAAGTAAGCTCTTAGTTTATTACATTAAATATTTTTTTCTTAAAATAATTCTACGAGTTAAACGAGGAAAACATTACAACTATAGTTTTAATAAATAATAATAATTATTATTTATTAAAATTATTTTAATACCTATAAATAAATAGATAAAATGCAAATTCATAAATCAAGATGTAGAATAATTAAAAAGTAAATCAACTAAATAAAAGTAACCTAATTATTATTTATTTAATAAATTATAGAAAAAATAAAACTATACACTATAAACTATAAAATCAACTACAAAATTTGAATATTTTAGTAAGTTAAAATGTAATTTTATTTAGTACACATAAAATTGTATGATCAATGAGATTTACATTTCTTTAAGAAAAAAAAAAAAATAGTTGTGAACCAATAATATTGGTAAAAGTTATATCTAATATTATTTGAGTTATAAATATTATTTTTATAAGATCTTTCTACTTATAAGTGTTTAATACATAATTAATGAATATAGTTTTCTAGCTTTGTTGATCAATCAGCTTGTTGGTCTTCGATTTGTCGACGTTGTTCTCTGAGGAATAAAATAATTTATATTATACAATAATGTTTATTCGCTTGTGTAACTAATAAGTGAGAATACTGACTTCCATCTTTGGAATAAGTGATCTAAATCATGTCTATGATAAAATGTGATGAATCCTTTTGGTTGAACCCCTTCGAAAACAGCCACCACGCTAGGTTTTAAATTAAAAAAAAACAAAGCTTGACCTCTTTTCGAAAAGTCTTGTGTTAACATCTCGATAACCTGCAATACAATGCGTACCGGTATAGATAATATGTTTTGATTACGTTATCGTCTGTCTGGTAAGACCTTTGCCGCGGTGAAGTCCGCACCATAAATATGCGAACAGTCGATGACCACGGGCAGTTCTCGTTTTAAGCTATGCTTCATAACTAAATTTCTCACGTAATCGACGGATGGGAAAACCAAGCATCTGTCGGGCGTGACCATCAAATAGTTTATACCATCACGAGTCTAAAATTAAAATTTGTAGGTACACCAGGTTTGTGGGACGATTTAAGAAAAAAAAAGTGCAAACCTTGTGAACTTCGATCAACAGTTTTGGTCTAGCCGCGTGGTACAAAATCGAAACTAAATTCAATCCGATGCCTATTAGAACTCCTATCTCTAGAGGTAGAACCAAACAAGCGAAAAACGTCGCCAGGCCTGGTATAAGGTCGCTTTCTAAGAGAGAGAGAAAAAAAAAATATTAACAAATCGTGACAAAAGTGTACAACATTAGCTAGACGATCAATTTATTTATATTTTCAATTATGATATTTGATATGATGAAGTTTATATTTACTTTTTGATCTATAAATTGGTCTAACCACTCGCACTTCGACCATGAATATCACTGCAGCAATAATGATCGCTGCGAGAGACGATTTTGGTATGTAGTACAAATAGGGCGTACAAAACAATAAAGCTATGATTACCAATACGCCTGAGCAAAAAATAAGTTATTTTATTTAACATTAATTAAATTTAAATTCGATGTGGGCTAAGAAATATCCGGTCGATTTGAAAAAATGCTATTCTCACCTGCGTACAACCCTTCCATTGGAGTCCGTACTCCGCTAGCAGCAGTCACGGCACTTCTTGAAAAAGAACCCGAACCAGGGTATGCATGAAAAAACGAATTGCCGATATTGCATAAGCCAGTTGCCAATAACTCCTGTGTAGCATCAACAGGTTTTCCGTCGGCTGAGAAAAAATATTGCTTATAAATTACGTAAGACAACAACTGGTTGAATTATACATTACTTACCGAATGTTTTGCATATGGAAATAGTTTCTATTAACCCTATTATTGGTAAAACTATAACTCCAGAACCTATTTTCGAGACCATTTCGAAGAATTCCGTAGTGGTGCCATTATCATATGTAACACTGAACTGTGGGAGACCAAATGCTGGTAAACCTGATGGAATCTTACCTAAAAACAATAAAAAACACATTTATTTCTAATATTAGTGTTTCCTGTTTGTCAAACTCTGAAAATTTATACTTGTTGTTCAGATCGTTACATACCGACTACTTTGAATGGTATCGGTGGTATGTCGTCAGAGGTCACGTCGTGTCCCTCTGAACTTATGTATAAATAACTCACATAACTGCCCACGATCACAACTATTGAGTTTCTGAACGTACCAATCAACCACATAAATCTGTTCATGCATTTTTGAAATTTGGTACGTAAATTATTGTCTTTCGGTCCGATTTGGCACAGAGCTATTCTCTTAAAATTGCAAACATGGAAGATATCAAAACGCTGTTAGATCAATTCAAGGTATATAAACGTTTTACATACTCTTAACAATAGGATCACAATGATGCAAATTAGTCCGAACAACGTGTCACCTAGTTTAAAATTGCATATGTCTTTGGATATCGACATGATCATATCGGACATGGTGGTTCCCGCAGCTTTGATGCCGATCAAGTCTTTTATCTGTGACGTGACGATGAGTATGGCGACGGCCGATGTGAACCCCGAGTTGACCGGCCCGGAAATGAAATCGATCAAGAAGCCTGCGATGTCGAACGGTAATCAAACAAACGCCTTCCAACGTATCATTCTAACACACACGTCCCTGTGCACTCACCTAGTCCCACAACGCCCATGAACAGCTGTATGATTCCGGTCAGGAAACACAGCAGAGTGCCGTACACAGGCCCGAGTCCGTGGAGGGTGTTGTACGTCATTAGCGATACGATGGCTGTTGGTCCCATCGGTACTTCTTTGCAGGTCCCGAGGAAAACGTACATCAGACTGCCGATAAACGAACCGTAAAGACCTTGCTGGAAACGGTTGAACAGTGAGCGTTATATAAATAATATAATTTCCTTTCGGGGAGTGGGGGGGCTAAAGTTTTACTTGCGGTGGCAGACCAGCCAGTGCAGAATAGGCCATCGATTGAGGTATGAGCGTCAGGCCGACCGTGATTCCCGCCAAAAGGTCTCCGATGCAGTCTTCAGATGTGTAATTTGGCCACCATTGCAAGATTGGCAGTCTTTTGGCGATTGTTTTGTACGTGAACATGGTTTTCGAGTTACTATTCAAAAACGTAGAAAACTCTTGAAATTTTTCTTTCATATTTTTCTTTGGCTTTTCTCCGATCTCGTCTACAACTGTTTAAATGCGTACAAAATGTTAGTTCTTTCAATATTAATTTTAACTTGTTACACCACGTTCGTATTGGATCGAGTAATATAATATTATTAAATACAAATAATTCGATAACTATTAGCCAAATCAAACAAATTTATGACTACATTTTTATAAATCATTTACCAAGTATTAACTTAAAATTCGATCAATATAGACAGCACAGGTGGGAGGTTTTGCAGGCCCCGAGACAGATTTTTTCATAGGGCCCAAGAATTTTTTGTCATGAAGCCAAAAAAAAATTTCTTAGACGCACTAATACTTGTATGAAATATTTTTCTATTTTACATAATTTATGTAGAAATATTTTCCCATAGTATGGATATTTTATCATTAAAGCGTCAAAAATATATTATTGTTCATTAATTTATTACTAGTATACTATTTTTTCTGTTTTATTATTTTACCACGAAATAGAAAACTCTTAAACATAACATTGAAGTTAAAGATTAAAATATTATACACATTTTCACATGACAGCGGGCATTTGTTATTTTATTATAAAAACAAAATTATAGACTAACAAATTATTAAATTCCATGAAAGGTCTCAGGCCCTTAAAATGACGCCTTTCCACCGGCGCTGAATTTAGAGACCTAGATATTTAAATGGACTTCACACATTTAGTTTGCTCTTTAATTAAAGTAAATTTGTTGAAATTTATCAGAGTTAGTGTTAGTGTTAGTATTTGTATTGATCCATGATTTTATATTTTAAATTTGCATTTACGTATAGTTAAATTCTTATTTTTGCTATTTTTTAATTTTTAAATCTTTTTTTTTGTTGGGCTTATTCACTGTTTTTTTCATAATAATTTTGGAACATGCAATTTTTTCTTATTATATTCTCTTCTCTTAGTTACCTCTTACCTCTTTAATTTGCGCTCTAAAATTGAAGTTAATTTAAAATATTCTAGTATTCTTTAATGTCTTCCTCCTTGTATTGAAAACTTTAATCCTCGTTTCAGGAATTAAATTTTTCCACTTCAGTATAGTATAAAATTTATTATTTTTCTCTGGTTATTTTGTATTTTATTGTTGTTATCACATTTAACTTTAAAAGATGAAAATAAAAAAAAACTAAATAATAATCAATTTAAAAACTAATTTTATAACTATTTTATAAGTTTTTCTATCTAATATTAAATCTTGAATAAATAGCAAATAATATAAATTTTACTTACGTATAAAGTCATTGCTGCCTATTGTATATTGAGATCTTGAATTATCACTCAACTCCATGTTTTCACATTTATGTTTTTGAGGTTCAATACTTTCATTAGTAATGGTCATTTAAAGATACCTGAAGATTAAATAAAAAATACATTTAAGACGTGTCGCTCATTTCAATATATATTTTTAATAAATTAATATTTTAAATTTTTTTAAATATTTATGCTTTCATAACTCTAATGAAAACCAAAAATCAGTTGTATCTTATTGTAATAGTTTACTTAGAATTTTCAAACTATGAAATAAAATTAATTTTCCAGCAATTCGTAGATGTTTCACAAGAAGAAAGTTTTTTTTCTTCCTAAGGAAGTAATTTAAAAATAAGTGTAATTAATTTTCAAATTTCTTCGAGATTTATCACATAGTATATGTTAGATATATCTTATCTTACAATAATTAGTCGTTTCATTATCCAAGCACTTGTGTACCCAGGACACATGACAAAATATCTGGAAGTTATAGTTTGATCTATTAAAATTAACTAATGCTGGCCAACAGTGATTGAATAATTGATAAACGCCATTTATAATGTACATATAAACGTGTATCTTTATATAATAGTTATCTTATATATATAGTATACCATAACTTAACTAATATATGTATACATATGGTTATATACGTTTATTCTTCAGATGGACAACTGGTGAGTAATTAATTAATTAACTAATATATATAATAACTGCTCAAGGTTATTTTTTTTAATGACTGAAACATTATTATTTCGATGAGACGTTTAATTGATTGAAGATTTATAGCTATCATGTGTTTTATTGTTATGCTTTCATTATTATGCTCAATAGTATTTTTGTCACAAATAAAACAGTTTGAAGTATTAAAAAAATATTTAAGCTCGAGTTCACTAAATCTGAATGGTGAAAACGAGAGGGTCTGTATATATGTGAAGAATTGTACAATGCAGTTAATTATACTTAATAATAGTTTGTTTAAACAATGATTAATGCATCAGCTTTTAAATTAACTGTGTAAATATTTATTATAATGTTTTTATTGTATTGATAAATGTTATGACGTCTTATTCTTTGAGACTACTGGTATCTTACAGAACATAATACAAACAAAATAAGGTATCCCATATTGCATTTGATAATATTTTATACAATTAAAAACAAAATTTACTTCCGAATAAATAATTGTTTTTAAAGTATTACATACGAGTAGTAATAAGTTCACGCAAGAACAGATAATATAATAATTTATTTACAGTAAAAATAAACCTTAGAACTTGGTTTTATTGTGAGGTTGGAATATTTTCTGAATTTGTTTCATAGATTTTTTGATTTAAATTTCGAACTTGATAGAATTTTCTAAAACCTAACCAACACATTAAACATGTTTTACAATTATATTGTTTCGTGTTATTAGATAATCATAAAAAAATATTAAGTACAATATTTTCACGAACAATTAGTTTTTATTCATTTTTTTATGTTTGAAAAAAGCTGAAAAACTAAAAATCATTATATGATAAAGTAATTCGCATTAAAGAACGAATAGAAATTGAAGCAAAAAAATTAGTGTGTCATCTTATAATAATAATTTTTTGAATTTTATGTTATAACATTTAAAAAGCTGATTAAGTCTCGATATAACTATTGTATATATTTAATCGCGTGACTTAAATTATATATGGTTTTTATCGATTTTTCATAATTTTTAAAATACGTCTTGGATTTTAAATACAAAATATTTATTTTGTGTGGTTATTATGAACTGGATTAAAAGTTTTAAATAAGTGTTGTACGAAATTTAATTGCATAGTTGTAATATTCTGTAAATTGTAAAATAGTATGTTCATAGTTTAAATTCCTTAAATCTCGAGTATTCTAAGATACTATTTACAGAACCATAAATAACATTGTTGGGAAAAAACGACGGAAAATTAGTTTAGTTAAAAAAAATTAAAAATTATGGAATCTGTAAATTGTCATAGACTTAATTAAAACTTTCAAACAATTTTTCTATGCACTTGAATACAAGCAGCTCATATTAATGTATTAAAATAAAACTTTATATAATTATATCAGTTTTTATATATTTTAAAATGTTAACTTGAAATGTAATATGAACCCACATAAAATAATAAGAATTCTTATTCAAATAAATTCATTTCTAGAAAAAAAAAAAAACATTTTAAATTCTATAACTAACGTAATAGAGCAAATGTAAACATATCGGATACTCATCTAAGTACTATACATAAACGGTAACACAGTATTGAAATATTCAGTACCTACAATAGTTAAAAAACAAATAGTTTATAAATTGTTCGTTTATAAAAAATAAATGAATAGAATAATATAGACCTTTATGAAAATTTAATATTTATAAGACAGAATTTAGCGAAACATTTGATACCGGCAACTTAATACATCAATGTTTATAAAAGTTTTTTAATTAGGTAAAAATGTTTCGCCGACAACGCGTAACGATAAAAGGCGATTCGTGGACATTCAAGTGCACTTATCGCAACGTATCTCGTAAAGAAAATCATCGGTGTTCAATAACGAACGGTTGAAAAACGGTCGACGTCTTAACACGGTACCGTCCGGTTAGGATCAAGTACGCGATTTATTTTTCGACCGAGATCCGTTGTCGGAGTCGAGAAACGAACGAAACGGTCTGGGCGAGTCGTTGAACATAAAATAATTGAAACCCATCGTTTTCCTCGGTTCGACATGAAAATCGAATCCGGGCGCTTAAAGCGAACCAAACGGTCGTCCGACGTTGTCGCGTTGGTACCGCGGTCGTACGCCGTGTCCACGACGACGAGAAGTCAATCGGAACGCGGTCCGAAGCGCCGGGCGAGTACTTACCGGAGACGCGATCCCGCGAGATCCGGACGACGGTGATCGGACGACGGGCGCGCGCGATCGATGAACCGTAATGCGCGTTTTGCGTGCAACTGGCGAGCTGACGTCCCGCGGTGAATGCGTTGCGCGGCGTCGAATCGATCGTCGAAACGTTTGACCGTCTCGAGCGCGCGGCACCGGAAGCTCGCAGTGCACCGCGGCGATAGGCACCTGTTGCGGAGCGCGACGACGAGCGACTGGCCCGTTGCGGCGCGCCGAACGTCAACAACGATAACCGATCGTCACGCGGACGTCGGACACGGGCTGTGTGCTTGCGGGCGTTCTCCCGCACCGACGCGGTCGCAAAAAACGCGAAAATGCGGCCCGAAATCGAACGGCCAAATGTTTTATATCTCCCCCCCCCCCCCGTAAAAGGTCGTATCGTGCTGCGCGGGGGCCTGTCGAGTTTAGGAGTCTTTTTTTAGCAAACCAAAAAATAAAAATAAAATAAAAGAAAAAAGGTGAATGAAAGCGTCAAAAGCTTATCCGTGACATGACGGCATTTGTGCAGCCGGAAGATACGGGTTATTAACTGTTTAAAGAAAAAAAAATCTTTTGAAATTACGGGATGACGAATAAAATACACACCTAATGCAATCGCTCACAATCAAGCGTTCGTTATTCATTTGACATTAACATATTTTAACGTTGCTACTCATCGAAAAAAAAATGTTTTCGCAATTAATTTTTTTTTTTTTTTTTTAAGCAGTCGTATTAATACGTTACAAATTAAAATTCAGAGTCATATTATTCGAGGCCCCCGGTCGGATGGGGGCCCTGGGCACGTGCCCCGAGTGCCCGTAGGGTAAAAATAGAACTGTTCCCGTAAGTGTATAGTTGAAATATACCTTGTACACTGGAACTAAATGAAAAATGAAAAATTATTTTTTTTTTCTTTTTAATTTCATTGTTCATTCGTCCGAAACGCTTAGAGTGATATGGCCTTTGAAAAATATCACCGTTAATGTTTGTTCTGGAAAACTTTCGGCTGTGAAACTCTCTGTACTTCTCTGCGTCCTTATTGGTGATTCTTGGGCCTCCTCATTTAATATTCCCGTTAGCAATGGAAATTATTTTACTACTCATCAGCCATACATCAATATCTTGTGGACCTTGTGGTGACATATAGTATCATCCATATCAGTTGATATATAACTCTGCTGTTTTCTATTAATAACGTAAAGTTATTAAATAAAGTTTAAATGAATGTAATGTAAATTAATTTTTGTAAATCATTTATTTTCCATAGGTCATGGAACAATAAATAACGGAAATACAGTAAGAACTTTTTTTAAAAATCTCAAAATTTCAGCAGCTTGCATGGGGATTAATATAGAACTGGTACAACGATGTCGGAACATATTATCAGCTATGTCAAGTGGATACATAATCGATGTTGATTATTTTGAAGAGTACTGTTTAATAACAGAAAAAATGTTTGTCTTATTGTATTCGTGTTACTACATGCCTGCAAGTTTACATAAAGTTTTACTACACGCTGTAGATGTTATACGATTAGCTCCTCTCTTAATAAGTATATCGATAAATGTAGGTATATAATTTCATTATAATATTGTTTAATTAAGGTAACTATTAGAAGAAGCACAAGAAAGCCGGAATAAAGACTACAAAGCATTTAGGGAACATTATACGAGAAAAATGTCAAGGTTGAATACGAACGAAGATTTGATGCATATTTAAATTTTTTCATCTAATACATACATATTATCCATGACCTAATCTTGATGTTTTTTTAGAGTGTAATGACAATACCCTCATGACTCCCCTCATTTGGATCCACGCCTGGTTTCTGACTAATATTTTACTCGTAATATCCTGTAAAAATATAAGAATTAATTGATATTATACTCTAGAGCTACCCAAACTTTTTTTTTCAGTAGTGCCTTTTTATGGACCCAATTTACCCATGGTGCCCTGCTGTGAACTACATTACAGAACAAAAAAAAAAACCTATTGATAACCAATTTTATTAATTTTATTAAAATTTAACTTAATTATAAATTAATGCATTTTTAAACTTAAAAAATAAATAAATAAAAATTATTTTTATTATGATTATAATTATTATATAAAATTATTATAAGGTTAAAATGAGAATATCCAAATAAACAGTAGAAAATATTGCATTATTTGCTATAGAGTTTTTACGAAAACCATAAGGAAAAACAATTTTATACATTTTAAATTATTTGTTATGAACCGTACGTAGACCGCGGTGCCCTTAGAAAATGGTCGTGGTGCCCCTAGGGCACCGTGGTGCACAGTTTGGGAATCGCTGCTCTAGAGTGAAGCGTGCTGCACACATTTCTATGGATTGAGACTTTTACCAATTGCAAACTGTTTAGATTTGTCGATTGATTCAATTAAAATCAAACAATTTAAATTTGATTCTTGATAAACGTCCAAATATACAATTGCAATAGACTGGTGTGTTAAAAATATTCGGTTAAATGTTACTTCTTATTAATTAATACTTATTAACTGTTATCATTTTCATTAGTCACTCTATTTTGGAATGTGTTTTAAAATAACTTCCATGACTCTAAAATATGAGTTCGTGGATTTCATATGGACTTTTGAGTCAATTTGCATGTATGCAAAAGTTAATTTAATTTAATGATATCATATTTCTATCGAATAACGTTAGTTTTCACTATGTTCTGTTCAGTGTCTATCATAAATCGCATGGCTAGTTGAAATGTATTAATTTTTAAGAAACATGTTATATTTTTTTATCGTAATATTTTAATTTATTTTTTTTCTTGATTCTCTCACGAAAATTTTTTCTAAAAATAACAATTCACTGACAACGAGTAATCCGTAAGTTTTTCAAATATAACATAAAAGATTGGGATAAAAACTTTATGTTTAAATCGGATGGAAATATGAAATTAGATTAGTAATGTATAACTATTTTAATTATTATTTGAGAAATAGACATTTCGGAATATCGCATGACTTCGACAATAGTATAGCAAAATTAATTTTTAATTGGTTTTTTAATTGATATGCATGCTTTCTAAGTAACTAGTCATTGAATAGTTAACATATATTCATTCATGACCAGTAAAAGTCATTTATGATTTATGTTATATACTCCGAGAAAAACATCTTTCGAAAAAACATTTTAATCCTTCAATGTCCGATTTTTTTTTTCGCAACTTAATTTTCTTAAACTCATTTTTAGTTACTGAATTCGTATAAAATAAATTAAAAAAATCCTAAGTTATTATTTTTGAGTAAATCAGAGGATTTTAAGATTATTATGTAAATTAAGTAAATGTGGGTATTTGTAAAGAATAATCAGGTATGAGCAATGATACATTTTAGTGGATCTCATCAGGTATATCATTTTCAACTGATGCGCCCTGTGGTATAACTATATATATACTCTCATTCATCTTCATATTTATCATATGTAACGGGTAAACTATCAACATTTAAAGAATCATTTACAAATAAATTATGCTGTGTTTTTGTAATTACGTCTCAACTTGCAACTAATTTTGTAATTTCTACGTCGTTAATAAATTCTTCCATATTTCTAAAATATTTTTACCGTTGATGCATGTTGCTTGCACATGATCGACAGTTTATTTTTTACCTGTAGTTAATTGAATACGTATTTTATATTCCTTCATTATAAATTGATAAATAAATTATACTATAAATTGATGCATAAACTAATGATTTACACTGGAAATTTTTTATAAAAATAATGTATTCTATTTTACGCCGGTAAAATAAAATTCAAAACGTCAGTGATACAGATAATCAATTTCTGGAACAGCTGATTTTTTGAACGATTGTTTATCAACCGCATTTAGTATCGACATCAATTAAATTATTTCATCACTTAATATAGATTATACAACTACCACTTGTTTATAAAAATATTTTGCCAAAAAAACTATAGAAGATAATATTTTATCAAAAGCAAATCTTGATTCTTCCATAGATTTATTATAACTATCCGAAATGTGAGCATACTCGTATACATTAGCATTTTTTTAAATAAATATATTTTAACTATATTGGTTTTATGCAATTCTGAAGTTTATGCATATTAAATTTTTCCACCGTTTTTTTTTCAATTATTAAAGCCCTCGGAGGTAAATACTGAAACATTTTTATTGTTATTATTAGTCAAAGATTTACATAATTTGTAAAAAACTTTATCATTAATTTGATTATATTTTAACCAATCAAATTTGTTTAACCAAGATGTTAAAAATGTTTTTTTTTGTTTTGAAAAGCTGATAAAGATAAATTATTTTCAGAATTAATTTGATTATTATAATTTAAATGAACGCTTGAAGTTGAACTATTATCAGAATGAATTTGATTGTTAATTATGTTTGAATCAAGTTCGATTTTTTTATTTATTTTTTTTTTTTGTATACATATTCACATAGACATCGTTGTTATTTGTTGTTGAATTAATTTTATTATTATTTGTTATGCCTTACAAAAGTTTAAAAAAAATTTAATTAAAATATTAAATATTAAAATTTATTTTCAATTTCTGATTTCCCTATAATTATTTTTATAAAAAATTAGATACGTACGTAAAAATTTGGATAAACGGCGTAGGCGCTAAATGGCATTTGTTCCAATATTATTTATACATTTATCATAAACTTACCTTAATATTATAATCCTCGAATAATATACTTCGTATGAACATTAATAACTAAAAATACTAAAATAATCAAATAGGTATTATACTGTAGAATAATCAATACAAATAGGAAATACTATGGGTCACAAGTTGAAAAATATACTAGTATACGCCCGTACAAACGTTGCGAATGCAGATAACTCAAAATGAATAAATAAAAATGAATAAACGTCCGCCACTTACCGTGCAGACTTATTTATACTGCGGTGAGCTATATATTATATAGTATTTATAATCAATGATCTTATTTAGGCAACATAAAAATATATAATCGTCGATGTTCTGATGAATATTTTTATGTCATAATTCTGGTATTTTAACCAATTATTATTGTACACAATGGAGGCGGAATAATAATTTTACCTCCATTAAATCAATGCACGGGGGTAATCACCTTTGACTAAAACGATTTTCCGAAGTTTGTTTCATTTTTATTGCTTGAATTTCCAAGTTTTTTATGGATTCATCTCTTTTATCTTATACATAGTATTTTGAAAATATACCTAAAATATTCCAAAAATAATAATAATAAATATATAATCTAAAATATAAAATATAATATTATAGAAGTTGTATTATCAAGTAATTAA